GATAAGATCCTTAAAAATTATCTTTAATCGATGCCAAATATGAACAGATCATAAAGAGACAGAAGCAAGTAAAATTGCATAGATGAAAACTATGCGCATCATTAGGGTCTTGATTCATAACATTCAATGTCCTCGACCTGACGTGGTAAACAGTTAGGGCAGGGGAAGTGCAGGGGAGGGGAGAATGAGACGCACCCTTAACTCAAGGGGTAAGCAGCTGGCAAAGTAGGGAAATAAAACAAAGCTTCATCAGCTTCAATGGTTTGTTGTCCTGAGGGTGCACTTGGAATTAATACTACTCAGTTTTTTATTTTAGCTTCAGCAATACTTTCTCTTTAATGCTAGAGGTATGTCCCAGAGTCCACGTGGCCCACTTATGACTGCTGTACAAACAGTCCCCAAATAGTGCACTAAAGGGAAGAAAAGGACTTCTGCAAGCTTGGGGAGGGGGAGACATCCTGACGGATTCTGCAAGGGTTTCATGTCTTTCTTTCCTTATACCGTTTCTTCCTCTGTGATTTTAGTATGAAATTTTCTAGATCCTTTGAAGTCTTGCATCATAAAATTCCTAATAAGATGCTAAATGAAAGTCACTATGACTAGGGTTAATCTTCTCAAAGCAAATAGTCCTGAAGCCAGCAGGGCCTAACCCTCAATATATGTACTAGTCCACAAGCAATGAGGCTACCCTTTGATACCAAGACTTCCAGCCTTACGTCTATACCCTGAATGAATTTGCACAGTGACCCAAGGTAATGGAATAGTTTTGGTTAACAGTTCAGCTCCTGCTTGCTTCTTTACAAAAGTGATAAGTAATGTACATTCCTTGAAGATTTACCTGAGTCATGCTACACGTCTGCATATACCCTGAAGTCCCATGCTATAAATATAAGTACCAGCATGCCACACTGTAGGTGAGAAGCCACCTCCTGAGATCACAGTTGAACTTAGCTTGTGTCTGCTCTTCCAATTCTGGTTTGTTTGTCTTCTTAAAATGAACATAAACATCCAAAGGTTTCACTCTTGCTTGGAAAAGGCTGGAAGATAACGTGGTTGTTTGGCAGTTTATAGTCTTTCTAACAATTTTATACTATGGATGGTTACCACCCACCAATTCTCACCACTCCCAGGAATAAGTCATTCCTGGAAGAAAATGGGGAATTGCCTTCTGCTAATGTTCTCTGTCTACTTTCTGTTCAATCCAATCTACCAAACAAGGAATTAAATTTTAAAGTTGCTAAAGACCATGTGTTTTTAGTCTCCTATATTAAGAATAAGGGTTGGAAACTATTTTTACCGATTCTTGTAGACACTAATTTGAAAAACTTGTAACTAAAACCAACATGAAGAAGGTCCTTAATGGGCTGAACCTACTTTCTACTTAAAGAAATGTATTTCTCCATTACCACTCACAAGCTTCTTTTTGTTTTAGTCTCAAGTGAATCAAGATCGTGGTCCCCCTGTGCTTCAGTTCCACCATCGTGGAATCTAAACCTCCCATACAATTCCATTTGAGAGAAACGACTGCCCATTGGCCAAAATGAGGGAGAAAAACTTGACCTGATTTTCTGGACTAATCCACAAACACACTCCTGGTGAACTGATTTCACTGAGCTTCAGAATTCAAGTCTCAAAGGGGAGTAAGGTGAGGGGTATGCACAGATGGGAAAGGGGGGGGGATGCAAAAACAAAACCAAACAAAAAAAACCTTTCCTAACTATATTCTGTCTTCTGGAAATCTGAGGACAGAGAAAATTAATATCTTTGGTCTCTCTGATTCAGATCACTTGAAGTGAGCTAAACACTTCAGAGATTCTGGAATGGCTAACAGCCCCAGGGTGGCCGAACCCTTCCATTGGTCCCCTATTGAACTAGGGCCCTACGCGCTGAAAGAGTTGGGCTATGGCTATCAGCACATCAGAAGTCTTCTCCTTCGAGAGAAAACAAGCATTCAGGACATGAGCTATCAAAGCTCAATACCTAAGGAGGGGATGCAAAGGCCAAAAGCCCAATAAAATAAATCTGAAGAAGTAGATCAAATGATAGGCATTCCTTAATAGGCAGTTTTGTTAAGTGCACCTTCAGGTCTACAAAAACATCTCAACACAGCACAGTGCGGGGGGTAAAAGCTTGGTCAAAGGTCGCATGCCTATGCTACACAGATAATCCCTGTACTCTGTATCACTGAGTTCATAACAATGAGCTATAGATGGATAACCAGCATCCATTTCCCCAATCAACCCCAAATTCATAACAACAGCACATCCCCAACCTCAGACAGACCATTTCACCTCATGCAGCACTTTTTCCTGTAACACATACAGAAGACTCAACCAATTCATAGCATAACTACAAGAGATGGGCCAAGCGTTCAGGGGCTGGCAGATCAGTCCTGGTCCCACTGTCTCATCCTCTAACCCATCCATCCCATAGTACTGAGTGGATTATTGCTGTTGACAGAGTGCAGTGTTTCAAGTTCTAGCGTGTCCTAGACCTCAGAGTCGAAAGAAAAGATCAAGGTATCCCTGGAGATTGGGGGAGGAGTTGGCTTTTATTCCCCAGCTGGAGACATTTAAGCAAGTCGAAGAGGGAAAGATAGTAATGATGATTTAAGGTTCAAATGCAGAGCAAAGCAGCACACGGAAGGGTTTGAGGCCCTAGAGTCAGAGGCTGGGAAGTTCTCGATCCCTCGTCTTCCAAGATGTGTGTTGTGTTCATCTTAAAGACTCAACAAAGTTTCACAGAAAACAAAAATATCCACATTCTTTCAACTGAGTCAGACAGCCTGGATGTCATCGTAGGATCTTGATTGATTACCTCACTCACAATTTGAAGACTGGGTGGAGGGGGAAAGGGCTGGAAGTACCAGGGAAGATTCCAGAAGAAGCTGTGCAAGAGTGTAAGGCAAACAGCAGCCACATGCTAAGAGCAGAACGATTCCTCACTCTGTGTTCTTAAGAAGAATGTAAGCTCCTCTCCATTGCTGGATAGCTGCTGGGCTCCAGAGCCTGTGCCGTACGGCGATCTTTCAGCCGGACATAAGGTCTCCACTGTTCTCTGGGCTCAGTGGCTGGGACAGCAACAGTCAGATGTTTAGCCAGCAAAGTGACCTCCAGGTGGGAAAATCATAGGAGACATCTGGAGACGGGTGGTCAAAGGACAGGTCTAGGAATGGTCACTATGAACTAAGTGTTGCCATGTCCACAATGATGCCCCCAAAGATCAGACTATCAGAGATCTGCAAAGTGCTGTAACTGACAGAGGGAGACAAAGAGCCTAAGGAATGTGCCAGGGGAACCACACTGGATCTGAGGGAGCTTTGTGTATCCAGAGTGGCCCTCCAAATCCCCAAAAAGTTTCTCTCAGCTTCTGGTAGAGAAGAGGAAAAAAGCAGGTTCACAGTTCATGTCCAGTCCAAAGATGGGTCTCAGTTCATATCCAGAGTCAGGCTGCCACGGGGACCAAGTCCAGTGGATGGCCAGAGAGGTGCTGCTTTGCGCTCTCCTCTCCTCAGCTGAGGGTGGTATGATCTTCTCACAGTGGTGAAGTGAGAGAGTGAGGATGGAAAAAAACAAACAAACAAACAAACAAACCAAAAAGCAAAATGGCTGTGCCCCAACCCTTCCTCCCTTTTGTTAAATAACTTCCCAGCTGAGTTATGGAGGCACTTTCTGCAGTTCACTGTGGGTACAGGATAAAGGCACTAAGCAACTATTAAATCAATTGGTTGAGTTTCTTCAGGGAGCCTCAAGGGGAGGGCTGAAGTCTCTATAGACTTCAAATCATGACTGCAAAAAGAAATCAGCTCTGCTCTGGATGCAGAAAGAGATAAACATTATCACTTACATCCTAAGAATGCACCAAAAAACATGCATATTGCACCTTTTTTGTTTTGCTTGTGTTCATGTTCAGCTAGAAAGAATGCTTGTCTTAGGTGTTATTATATATACCTTGATGACTTCTTTTTCCACAGTTTCCCTTTAAAGGATGGGCATATTGGTCCTCTCTCTGCCTACACCTGCACAGAAGCTTGAATTTTCCCTGAGCAAAAGCAGGAAAATTGACGGAGTGTTTCCCCAGCCCCCACCCCCCATTGTTTCTTTTGGGCCTTTCATCCCACAGACTTGTAATTTTTAGTATTTTTTTTAATTTTTTTCTTACTGAAATCATGCAGTCATTAAGTGAAGGTACATCTTAATCAAATAGGCCATAATGCTGAATAAGAGAACATGCTTTGAGCTCCAGAAAGTTATTGTTCCCATCTGACTAATGTATGAACTTAAATACAGGACTTTATTTTCTAATAAAAGAGTTAATGAATAACAGAGTGCACTTTGGGTGACTGTAAATGAAAAGGGCCTATATTTAGAAGAATCAATTTCAAAGTAAGCTTATTCCCTATTGCCTGGGTTAACTTTCTCAGCATGCGATTATAAAATAAATGTTATCGGATTCAAACATGCTTAACAGTTAACTCTTGTGCTCTCTTGCAGTAAGGAAGGGAAGGGTTTGCATCCAGTTCTGAAGGCCAGGGGTCAGAGTGCAGGATTGGTGAGAAAAGAGACCTATATTTGGCTCATCTGCAGTTGAGAGAATTTAGCAGCCCTACAGATGAATCAATTCATTTAATTCAGTTACCTTTTTTCCTAGAGAATAGACTGGATTGAAGAATGGGGAAAATGGAAAATCCCTAGAGATCAGAACAGTATGAGATTTATAAGGTGCTTTGTGAACCAGTCTTCATTATTCAGATTCTATCCACCTTGTAATATGCAGTTCCATTGATCAGAATCATAGCATTTGTTCACTGCCCACTGAGACCGATAA